TGAACTGAATGGCTGCGTAGCCCTGTGTGTACTCCTCCTGTTATAGCGCACCTTGTCTCACCTTAGACCTATTCCCATGGCACATCCTACAGCTACTCATGATGATTGCCGTGGGTGGTAACATCTACAACTGTATCAGCCTCGCAGTCTCGACATTCGAAGGTACGCCCGTCACTATAACTATACGAACTATCTGAGAGACCATATATCCTTTTAAGAACTTTGGATAAGTGAGGTGCGATAACATTATTTTTTTCTCAACAGCCAGTCCAACTCACAGTCTGTGCCAACAACACATCGGTAGGAAGTACTCCGTATGCAGTGCTCCCAAACCAACAACTCTCTATACAATATACTAAATACATTACCTTTATACATTATATTAAATACGTTACCTTTGTACATTATACTAAATACATTACCTTTATACAATATACTAAATACGTTGCCTATATATGTTGATGCTAAATACGTTTCCTTTATACTAAATACTAAATACGTTTCCTTTATACATTCTACAAAATACATTTTTATACATTCTACTAAATACGTTTCCTTTATACATTATACTAATACGTTTCCTTTATACATTCTACAAAATACATTTATTTTATACATTCTGCTAAATACGTTACAAACGTGATTCCGATGAGAGCGGGCATGTCGTACGACGTTTCCAAGTGCTTTCACCGGCGAGACAATCTCTATACGCATATAATAACTTGTACTTTTAACGGGGTGTGTCGGCTAGACAATCTCAACATACACGCATATAATAACTTGTACTTTTAATGGGTCGTGTCGACTAGACAATCGCTATACGCTTATAATAACTTGTACTTTTAACGGGGTGTGTCGGCTAGACAATCTCAACATACACGCATATAATAACTTGTACTTTTAATGGGTCGTGTCGACTAGACAATCTCTATACGCATATAATAACTTGTACTTTTTATGGGTCGTGTCGGCTAGACAATCTCTATACGCATATAATAACTTGTACTTTTAATGGGTCGTGTCGACTAGACAATCTCTATGCGCATATAATAACTTGTACTTTTATGGGTCGTGTCGACTAGACAATCTCTATACGCATATAATAACTTGTACTTTTAATGGGTCGTGTCGACTAGACAATCTCTATACGCATATAATAACTTGTACATTTAACGGGTTGTGTGGACTAGACAATCTCCATACGCATATAACAACTTGTACTTTTTAACGCCTTGTATCGGCTAGACAGTCTCTATACGCATATAATAACTTGTATTTTTAACGCGTTGTGTTTGTGTGTCACTGCAGGTGAACACGCACGGGCCAGAGCCAACCAACTGGCGCGCTATGGCAATGCCCTCAACCACGTGTGCTTCTACACCATCGGCCAAGTTAGCCAGGGGCAGTTCCTTTATCTGGTGCAGAACCGGATGCTGTCCCCCGACGAGGCTGAGATACTTGGTGTATGTGGGGACTGAGGTTGAGTAGTAAAAGGAGTTGTATCTTGCTGTATCTGTTAATACTTTGGTGACTATTGCTGAGTAGTTTGTTATGATATACACTTGTTATACTTATGTATACAGCCAACAACCTGCCACGTCTCGAGCATAGCAGAATGCGGTCCACCGGAAACAAAACAGAGAATGCTGGTGTGTGTGTATGTTGTATATGCTGTGTATGTGAGATATATTGCTGTGTGTGTATATATGTGTCTGTGTATGATGTATATGTATTCCTGTGTATGTTTATATGGTTCCGTGTATCATGTATATGTGAAATATATTGCTGTGTGTGTATATATGTTTCTATGTATGATGTATATGCATTACTGTGTATGTTTCTATGTATGATGTTTATGTATTACTGTGTATGTTTATATGGTTCTGTGTATCATATATATGTGAAATATATCGCGGAATGTGTATATTTGCTTCTGTGCATACAATTATTGTGGTGAGTGTTGCATACTGTGTTTAAGCCCAAAATACAGATCTGCGTACTTCCGACGGGTTCCATATAACATGTTCAGATATCTACCCCCACCTTTGCCAAAAAGCAGATAAAGGCCGTCCCTTCCTATCTCATGCACACAAACACCCTCCCCATCACTACCAAACAAGAGTATAAGGGGAAGGTACATATCTCGCTCTCTATCTCATGCACACAAACACCCTCCCCATCATTACCAAACAAGAGTATAAGGGGAAGGTACATATCTCGCTCTCCATCTCATGCACACAAACACCTCCCCATCATTGCCAAACAAGAGTATAAGGGGAAGGTACATATCTTGCTCTCTATCTCATGCACACAAACACCATCCCCATCATTAACAAGCAAGAGTGTAAGGGGAAGGTACATATCTCACCCTCTATCTCATGCACACAAACACCCTCCCCATGCTTATTTCCCAGGAGTTCAAGGGCAAGATGACCAACCTGCTTGCTACGTGGATGTTGGATACCTTAGAGACAGCCAGTAGGGAAGGCACAGCCCGACGGATCGATCGAGCTACGCGTGAGATCATTTTGGAGATAAGAAAGAATGCCGCGTTGCTGCAAGATATGCAGGTAAGGAAGGTGGCCGTGTGGTGTGGTGTGGTGTGGTGTGGATGGGACTGGACCGGTCATGGGACCAGAACTATGGGTGCAGGTGCAGCGGGTACATTGATGGATGTAGAATTATGGGTGTAGGTGCAGTAGGTACATTGATGGATGTAGGATTATGGGTGCAGGTGCAGCGGGTACATTGATGGATGTAAAATTTTGGGTGCAGGTGCAGTGGGTACATTGATGATGTAGAATTATGGGTGCAGGTGCAGTCGGGTACATTGATGGATGTAGAATTATGGGTGCAGGTGCGGCGGGTACATTGATGGATGTAGAATTATGGGTGCAGGTGCAGTGGGTACTTTGATGGATGTAAAATTATGGGTGCGTGTGCTATTGGATACACAATACTCCTTCCTGTGTGTTGTTTAAGGGTTGTGGTAGTAGCTTTGCTGCATGCGGGAATCAAGGCCAAGCCTTGCGTTCCCATATGAGATACCCCTTGGTATAGTTCACAGACTCCGAGACAAATGAGTGGGTGAGTTGTTCATTTAACGTATCGAGAGGCAGCCGAATCTATTGTGCACCACGGCAAACACTCTGAACAACCACTCTGATAGCGGTGATTTATCTAGTATGGCATAGCCACGTCACATACGCGGAGCGCGTTTTCAGTACCACCGATAGGGTGATTTTGGACCCTATAGCGACTTTGGGCTCTAAAAGGCTACTACCGCTCCTTGGTACTTGCACCTGTTGAGAAATAGACTGAAACCCAGGCCATTTGAGCTGAGCTACTACCACTTCCTGGTGGTCGCACTACACTTGCATCTATTTGTAGCAACCAATGGTATTGCGTAGTAGATATTCATAATTCTAACACGTATACCACCTTCCCCACACAGCGATTTCCGCCTCCGCTGGGCTACTACCACTTCCTGGTGGTCGCGCTACACTCGTGGCTCTTTCTGCTGGCGTACTCCACCCC